TCGTGACTGGCAAAGTGGACACAAGAAACTTTGAGGAAAGAAACATTCGCCCAAGACTGCAGATTTGTGCGAAATTATGTCAAGAAAAAAAGATGTTTATATTCTAATTCTTTGAAGAAGCAAAAAAAAGTCAGAATTGGAGGTCCGCATGTGTTCCGTTCACCAGAGTGAAGTCTGGTCTGTCTGGGTAAAAGGTTTGCTTATTATCAATCAAGTTCCATCGTTCATAATTTTTTAAAAATTTTCTCGATATTGTCTATAAAAAAATCTAATAATACATTTTCTTATTTTTATTTTTTTAAAATGGAAAAGGGATAATTACGTTGCTTTTGGTTAAGAAATAGCCTATATTTTCATTAGCGAATACCACTTTTGTTTTCCTTATTCTGTACATAGATTTTATTTTCGTATCAAAATTGTGCATGAATTAATAAATTTATATATCATTCATGTAAAAATTAGTTAAAATTAATGGTGTAATTTAAGTGATAAATGGACACTTAACGAGTTAATTACGTGCGGTACAACAATTTTACCTTTTTTTAAAAATTATAAATAAACTTCACACTATATGTCAGTTTTCTAAAATGTACGTATATGCTTGATGCATTTTCGAAACGTCTCGATATGCACGTTATAATGTTATTAATCAATTTCGTTGACCGTATATGCACATTTAAACATCAAAATGCACCAGTATTTATATTAAAAATTGTGTCAAAATTAGCCTAACAAAATCCGGTAATTTTTTATGACTTAAAAAGACAATTTGAGTCTAACAAATATCAAATTAATTCAAATCACCAAACTCGTGAATTAAATACAATAATCTATATGGTTTTACTAGTGAGTGGTGCTAGTAATGAAGAGCCTTGGGTTGTTGACTGTTGTGATTATGGAAAATAGGTTAATAATGATATCCTACCATCTACAAGGGATAATATAATTTTTCAAGTTGAAATAAAGGAGTACGATGAAGATGTTTTTATATCGGATGATACAGAAGATGATTTAGATTAAGATGAGTTTGAATTGAAACTGGATAAAGAGTTAGACATTATTTAAAATTGTTTTAAGTAGATGTTCGCGTCTAATTTAATCTAACGAATATATTATCAAATAATTGTAGTATTTATGATTTTGAGCATTATATTTTTGTTAAAATTTTGAAAAATATGTATAAAGTTCAAGTGATCATTTATGAATTAGCTTTTATTAACTCACAAAGTTGTAATCATTTATGAATTAGCTTTTATTTATAAAATTGATTTTTTTTTTTTTTAATGTATCAACCCAATATCCACAATGTGACAATGAGTGACGGACATGTAAAATAAATGAACGAACGCCCATTCTTCTATTACATTTAACGTTTCATATCAATTTATAAGCATCGTGAAACGAGAGACCAATAAGAACGTTCGTAACCTGCTCGAATTCATGTACCATTCTAATAATTAATCATTTTAATCACGGTGGTCGACAATGAATTCTAGTTTTTGTTTTTCCACGTAATAAAATAATGTAATACGATTCAAAAAATAAAGACGTAATCCAACTTTGATTTTTTTTTGTTTTTTTTCTTGATCCATATGGGCGAATGGCCATGACCATTACAACAAACTAGATTGGGACATGACTTTTTGAGTCCTATAATTCAATTCAAGCTTGCTTTTGGGTTGACAAGACTCATTCATAGTTGACTATCACGCTGGGTAAAAGAAACGCGTACACTGTATTAAAGACATGACTGGACTGGAGTACCCCCCATGTCAACTTTGGAACGGTCGATCAACCATAAATATGATATATGCCCCCATGTTACAATCGTTATTCCAAAAACTTTTTAATTCTCATACTCATTTTCAATCATACATTCATAAAATAAAATATTTCGCGTGTAAGCACAAAAGAATTTATCACTTTTTAACCACACGTTCTACAAAAAAAATTACTATTCAAAACATCATTTTCGACATAATGGCCATCAAACAGGACGTAATTTTCATGAACAGGCAGGCAGGCCAGCATAGACTACCTAGAAAATTGACTAGGAAATAGTCAAAGTATAGAAAGAAAAATATTGTGAATCAATTAACCACATACAAACAACTTCGAAACAATCTAATGACTAAAGCAACAAGTTCAGAGCCTCATCCAAAGATGCCTGCCTATGACAGCCTATCAACAAATATCAATAGCGTCGACCCTGACTATTGGCAAGGCAGATGAACGTGTAAGGCTACAACTTGGTGAGGGTCCAAAGAAAAATTGTCATATATACTATATTTTTAAATAATAATGAAAAATTTTCAAAGTAGCATCCTATCTACAAATACCAAGTGGCATAATGACAGTGAATCAATTATTTATATTCTGGACATTCGTGGATATGGAACCTCTTCTCGCTTCTGTGCATTTTTACCTCCATTGGATTCATTAGCTTTTTATCAATGCCTTCAATAGCCCCTAAACCACCTCTCCTTACATATATTTGAAACTCCATTTGAAGGAATATGAACTCCCTAAACATAGGCCAAAATTTATTAAAAAGATTTGCAGTCAGATTTTAATCCATCAGGAAGTGAAATTTAATTTGACAAAAGCAGAGACTTGCCTCACCAACTTGGACAATATCTATTGACCAAACTACAAGTGTTTATCGGTTCCCATTTTTAATCAAAGACCAGACAGCAAAATTAAAATACAAATCATCACAAAACAAGCAAAAACTACCGTGAAATGAACCTGAAATTATCACATTTTCAACCTCACATCACAACTAAAGAAAATGAAAAATAAAACTGAAAGATATAGGAATATATACAGATACAAACACTCAGTGTGCAGAAGCTCATGCTCAAAACTCGAACAAAAATGAGAAGAAAAAAAATCACGCATCCACAGAGAACCGTGAAACAAATCAAAATCCATACCACCAGTAAGAAACCCATTTGTTAAATTTGAAGGCTTAAGCAAATCCACAAGAAATTGTCAAATAATCATATTTCCAAACACCAACATAACAAATTAGGACCAAGAAAAGAACTACAAAAACTTACAAAGTCGCACCAGAAAATAAATATAAATAAACCTGAAAACCCCACAATAAAGGCAGAAATCAAAACCCTAAAAGAAATCTAAAAACTTCTAAATTCCACGATTCCAGTCAAAGGAAAGATCCACAAAAGTAAAATACAAAGAAACACTGCAAAGGACCCGGAAAGAGGAAGAATGGGAATGAGGAATAGGAATGAGGAAGAAATGCGGAAAGAGAAACAAGGGCCATATATGAGGAGCTAAAAGTGAAATTTTCTCATTCATAAACCAAACCCTCAAGCCCCATTCTCTTCTCATCTTCTAGAGAGAAAAATAGCAAGAGAAAAAATAGGAGAAATCAGGTGACACGGGTCGCACAAGCGATAAATCGTTTTGGGTCCAATGTGGGGTGAAAAAAAAAATGCTAAACCAGTTAGGTGAGAATGTGAGGTACAAAATTGTGAACAGTGCATTTTTTGAATAAGAAAGAAGTCGATGTTATTCAATCAAAGATACAAAGAAGAGGAGCATAAAATCACCATTCTCTTACTTCATACCATGCAACTGTGCAAGTAATGAAAATCACAAGGATGAAGAGGCAAGAATGTAACAGAAACAATCTCAGAGGACACCATTAAAAACATCTATAAGCATTTGAGATTTACAAATCAGATTTAGTGCATTGCGCCTTGTACTCCAATCCAAAGTGCCTGAGAACAGATTTCAGTGTAATCTGATTTGTCTGAATATAGTTTTCACTTAGGGTCCGTTTGATTACAAGAATGGAATTTAAGTGGAAAGAAAATGAATTTTACGAAATTGAATTGCCTAAAACTCGTTTTACTAACAATTCTCAATTAATTGTGTTTGATTGGTATAATTTTTCCTCCGGAACATTATGAAATTTTAGATCTTTTGGTGTTCGTTTGGCTTTGTTTTCCATGAAAATTCTCTATTAAATGGATATAATTTGTTTCAATTTGGGATAGAATTTGTTTCAATTACCCAAAAAAAAAAAACTGCCCAGTGAAGCTTTTCCTCAAAAACCAAGAAAATATGGAAAACCAATTTCATGAAAAATTTAATCAATCAAACATGCAAAAAAGTGGAAATGAATTTTAATTTACATCTTCCATGGAAAAGAAAGAGCAATTAAACGGGTCCTTAGTTCATTGCATCGGAATTGAGAATTTAAGGCCATATGAAAATAGAACTTCATATGAAAATAGAAATATCTTTTTCGAATCTCACTTACATTACACTGCAGATATGAAACCAAGTAACTACAAGATATTTGTGCTTATTCTAATCTAGTAAGATGCAGGCAGCATCATTTCAAGAAATAAATCAGGGAATAGTTTACTAAGGGAGTAATAAATTTTACACTGACCTGAAAAGATTAGTGAGCCAGGAAAGCAAGGTATTCGCTAGATGTTATCATCTTTACACTGTAGATGTGGATTTGCAACACCTTTCATCTTAATTCTATATTACATGTTCAGCAATCAGCTTAAGAGCCCCAAGTTTGGGCCAATTTTCGAATTCTGCAGCCTTGGATGCAGAGTGCAAATACATATCATTTCTTAACCACAGAGGCGGCAGAATATGCAGAACTTGATTTTCAGTTTGATAAATGTCCAAGACATATTGTTTCACTTCTAATATAATCCATAGATGCTCTTGTGCAACTCGTAAGTACCAAAACATATTAGCAGCCCCAAGCCAATGAGTGGAACCGTCATGGTCAGCAAGGATCCCACGTAATCTCTGAGCCACAGCTCTACTATTGACCTTATATTCTGCCATACTCAACTCTACTTTGGACACTTCCTTTGAAAAGGCGATTCCAATGAAATGGGCATTGTTGATCAATTATGTTCTCTTGTTGGACCATTAAATATTTCTGCTCAATCCTAGGACAGGACCTACGACACCAATATTAACAGCACTTCAAACAACTTCTACGTAGCATTCTCTAGCAATATTTCTTCTAAAAGAACCATTCCCTTATCAAGATTGGAAACTAAATTGGCCAATAGAATTCCCCAAGAATCAGCATCAATCCTCTGATTACTAGAAGCAGCCACAGAAAGCACCCTGCAAACTTCAGGTTCGCATTTTGAATTGCAGAGTCCTTCAATCAAGATAGAATAAGTGGACTTGTCCAGAAATAAGCCTTTATCCAACATCTCCTCCAAGAGTTCAATCCCTTCCTTTGCATTACCTACCTTACAAAACCCCTTGATCATCATGTTATAAGTAAAAGCATTAGGGGTGCATTTCTTCTCCACCATATCATCCCACAACCTCCCTGCCTCACACAACTCCCCTCTCTCGCACATCCCGGCAATAAGTGTATTATACGTCAACAAACTAGGTATAGTACTTCTCTCAAACTCATCAAACAACTTCCGCGCTTCCCAAACCTTCCCTTCCTTACAAAGCCAATGTATAAGTGTGCTCGATACCGAATTATCTGGAGTACAATTCTTTATCAACAACTTCTTCCACAACTCACATGCGTCCTCAACCTTCCCTTTCTCACACAAGACATCAATCACCCTACAACATAATGCTGAGCTTGGTATATACTGTTTATCAAGCATATCATTAACCAAATTAACAGCTTCCCCAGACTTCTTTTCCTTACACAAAGCCTCAATCATGACACTATAAGTAACATCATTTGGCTCAACCCCATTCTCCTCCATCTCATCCATCACTTTCGTTGCTTCAACAAACCTTCCTAGCTTACAAAACCCATCCATCAAAACTGTGTATGTGGTTGCATCAGGCAACCACCCTCTATCCAAAATCTCATCAAACACTCTCTTCGCCCCTGCCATATCACCTCGTGTCACATACCCACCTAAAATAGTCGTATAACTGACAACATTGGGAACCATTCCCATTGCTGGTATTTCATCCATAAGCCTAACCGCACCCTCAACATCATCCTTCTTACAGAGCGCCTTCAATAATATGTTACAAGTAAACACATTAGGCACAATGCCAAACTTTCTCTGGCAATTCTTAAACAATATGTAAACAGAATCGTACTTCTTATTCTGAACCAACGAGTTTAAAAGGGTGTTAAAGGATCGAACTGACCTTTGTACACCAAAATCCGTGATATGAATGAAGGTTTTAAGGGCATCTTTGGGTTTACTAGCAATTCCGTAGTTTCTGATCAATGTGATAAATAAGTTCTCCCCGCACTTGATATTGGAATGAAGGAGATCGTTCAAAAGGGTATTTACGGGTTCAAAAGCACGGGCGCGAGAGAGCTTGTGGATGATGGAGTGGTAAGTGTCGTAATTGTGGTGAAAATTGGGGTGATATTTACCGGCGTGTTGGAATATTTGGAGGGCAAGGTCGAGGTTTTGTTGGCGGGTGATAATAGAGACAAGGCGTTTGTGTGACAGTTTTTGGGGCCATGGCTTAATAGGGGGCGTGACAGTGTAGGATTGGAGGAGTTGGGATTTGGATTTTATGGTGGATAGGTGGTGGTGGGATTTGAAGATGTCATCTTCAGCGTTGGCGTTGGAGTTGGCCGTGGCCGTGGCGGTGGCGAATGAGTGGAGGATTGAGAATTTTGCGGTGGTGACGGAGCGAAAGGATTGGATTCCCCGGTGAAATAACATGGTGGTAGTGGTGGTGGTGGTGGTGCAGGAGGAAGATTGAGGAACAATTGGAAGGGTTGGTGCGTGGGGTTGGGCCGATCTATCCGCTTGTTAAAGCCTGCAGAAATGTCTCAAAAATGGGTCCAATTCTTCTGCTGTTCAACACATTTTGGGCCTGCAAATTGGAGTCACATAACCAAACGACTCGAAAAAGCCCAAACATACAGAGGCGTCAGTCATCATTACCAAGACATACATTATCGTTGTCATTTCATTGGCAACGGTTTTTGAGCAAATGGTTCTATTTGTATACTCCCTAAATGTTGAATTAGTGAAATGTGTCTGTTGCAGGCCTTCTGAGACTCTCCACCTCATCCATCCACCTCATCCGCCACGTGTTGGTCGAACTGATCTGGTGTGCCACGTGGCAGACGAACTGAATCCATGTCGGGCGAACTGATTCCATAACTCCGAATTGAGACACTATTGCCCCACCTCATAGAAGAACCGAACTCATCCGCCATTCACGGCAAATGCAAAGGCTCACACTCCATATTCGTTCTGCCTCGCCGCTTCTCTATCAAGATCCTTTCAGAGATCTTCGAAGTCAAGTTCTTGACTGATGATGGGACGTGTGGAAGGATACAAGCGGTCAATTCAGCTGATATGTCAGAAACCATTTAATATCTGCCAACCTATTGAGCGATGGATTGATGCCTATGAGGATTTGACTCATTTGGGATCTAAAGTCACGTGTCCTTTCATCCAATGGCTCACATCCTCCCTTCCCTAGTATAAATACTCCCACACTGGTAAGAGTATGGGGTTGGATTTTCTTTCAAGCTTTACATCATAACTTTCAACATATATTTGCACGTCCCAGTGACTACTTCACCACGTCCCAGTGACTACTTCACCACTGGACATCACTTCCCGATTAATTGAAACGCTGACTTGACCGTCGGAGTGCTCGCGATCGCCTCCATCCCCACCGGAAAAGGCCACGAGCGACTGACGGTGTACTATTGTATGCAGGAAAGAGCTTATGTGGAATTTCGTTTTATTGGCCACGTGTCGGGACCATTTTTCGAGGTTAACAGTGTCCTTTATATTTTTTTTCCACACACTATGTAGAAATAAGCAGTTGATTTTATGTAGAAATGGGGTTGCTCACAAAACCATATTGAAATAATAATCACTATAAAGCATGTGCGAAATTCGTTGATAGATGCACTGCAAACGCGTGCTTGGAGATGAGTGGAGACAGCATCTGTTGACGCGTCTCGTTCCAACCAAATTTGGTGTTCAATAGAATTCATATGTTCCTTTCTGTTATTTTTTGCTTTTTTTTCCAAGAACTTATGAATTGAATCTTAATTGAACTATTCTATTACAATAACCAGATTCATTATCTAAACAAGCTCAATTACAAGCAAAATCATATGCAAAATAACAATCAAAGGTAGTGTACATTACAACCATCAAAATCCAAACTGCAATGCTTCACCTTCACTTTGATTGCCCCACTAAGCTTTAGAGCCCTCTTAGCAATCCCAAAAAGGAGATTTTCCTTGTGCTTCAACTCCATCCTCTTCATTTCAGATGGAACAAATACCAATTGAGTCCCATTCAACTCATCATAAATCCTCTCAAACTCCTGCAAAACTTCACTCACCATTCCCACCTTATTTTTCTTTACCAGCAAATTCACCAACTTCACCAAATGCCTATCAAACCTACCCTTTTGTGCAATCTCCTTCACTACTTGTCCCTTTTCTTTCTCTTCAACACAAGGGTCTCTAAATACAGCTCGGATACGTTCATTACTTATCCATTTCAAAAGCCTCTTTACATCCCTCTCCACCTCTTCAAGCGAGCTGTTGCACTGAGCCACGTCTAAAAGTGCCGTCGCATAGCCGCTGGCAGCTTTATGGTGGGCTGTTTCTGTTCTTGATGGAGATTGTTTGGGAGATGAGTCTTGAGAGGAAGAAAGGAATGGATAAGTAACTAAAGGTGTGGCTTTAGTGGAGATGGAATTTGTAGGTTTGGCAGTAGAATAACAAAAATAGGGGTTTGGAGGAAGAAAATGGTGATGAGATGATTTGGGATTCTTGAAATGATAGAATTCACGAGGTGTTGAATGAAGTGAACTGGAGATTTTCAAGGAAGGCATGGAGCTTGACAGGGTATCCATTGAGAGAAACAGAAGCTGAGCTGCTGAGGAGAAGAAGCCTCTAAATTTTTGATAAATTATTTGGATTCATTTTGAGGTGAGGAATTGATTGCTGCAAGAATAGCAAAGGATAGGTTTTTTCTTTATCTCAGCCACTAGTTGTCCAAATTATTTATTTATTTCCTTAGATGGTAAATAAAAATTTAATTTTGAGAAATGCTATGTACACAATATTTCACACCTCCTTCATATGGAGGGGGGTGCACACACAATAAAATATTTGTGAACCCCCTCCATGTGAGGGAGGTGTGAAACATTGTGTACACCACAAGGTGTACACATAGACTAATTCTTTAATTTTACCTACCCCAAACTAGGTTTGAATTTGGTCATCGACTTGGTAAGACTTAAGAGTTCACTCTTACTACTTAAGCTAAGCATTAGCATCTGTTAGAGTCATATTAAAATTTTCATTTTCATTCTTCTACTCATTTTTAACCATACATTTTTCAATAAAATAATATTTTTCATCACATCAATAACTTTTCATTCTTCTTCAACCACACATTCTTCATCAATTTACTATTACAAAATATATTCTTCCAAAATAATGTGACTCAAATACACCCTAATTTGACTATTAACCAGGAACTTATTGGTATGTTTGAAATGATGTGTAGTTGAAAGTAAGTTTAAAAAAAAAAAAATTAAGTCATTGTTTGAGTCCCATTTTTTCGAAACTTATTTTCAATTAAACATTCTTTAATAAAGTAATTTTACACGTAAATTTTTTTTTTTCTATTTTTTTAACTACAATTTCTAAAAAATTACTATTCCAAAACACATTTCCCCAAAAAATATGGCTCAACTAAAGGTTAACTAATCTCTACCAAACATGAACGGAATGTAGCTTATATTGCGAACTTTAAGATGACAAATCCTATGAGTTGAGTTGATCGATATTTGACCTTTCTTCCATCAAAATTATGGAAGCAATAACATTGACGTAGATGAGGGAAGGAAAGAAAAAGAAAAGTTTGGAGAATTTGATGACTGAAATTTAGACAAAAAATAAACTGTAACTAGTGTGGGGGTGATGAGGTCCAAAAGTGGCCCATATGAGAAGTTCTACTCCATAAATTAGTCCATAGAATAGCCCAATTGAAAATGGCTCAAAACTTGATGATGTCATACCTCAGCCCAAATGAAGTGAGAATAAATAAGCGAAAATTTCATAATTAAGAAGTTTAGTTTTACTAGTTTCAAATTTAAGACATTAAGTTTAAAATTTTAAATTTAAGAGTTTTTTAAATTTTATTTATAAATTAATTAATTAAATATATATTTTATTAATTAAATACATTAAGGTCACAATTTG